ATAACAAAAATAAAAAACAGTTTTCGGTTTGAACCGGTATACTGCCCAGCACTATGATACCTCATATGTCCATCTAACACAATCATATAGTAAATAATTGTGTTAGATGATTACATATTAAACTGATCCACAATGAGTTTGTTTTCATTTTGTCCTGATGCAATCAAATCCTTCATCATTTAATTGATAAGGCTTGATCTTGCTGTCTGATATATTTTATTTTAAAAACCTCGAAGTATGGTTCAAAATAAGTTTAGCACAAAACAGCCAGAACACCTTGTTGTTCCTAAATTTAACTGATATTTATGATAAGCAAAGCTGAAGCTGACTCAGAGAACTCTTATTTAAGGGGGAAATTAAAGTCAAACGTAGACACACGTCTGCGTTAAAATGTGGGGCGTTTAAATATTCTTCTTTAATAATATTAGGCTATAAGAACGTGCGCTCCCGAGGCAGGGCTGCTCCTTTGAGAATCAGGAGTTTATGTGCAACTTGCACATGTCTGGAAGAACACAACTATGCTCCAAACACATTAATGTTTAAATAATACACAGATTTTAGACTCTGAAGTCCTGGGCTGATCGGAGGCCTGCTGCAGGTGGAGATGCAGCAGCTGTGGTCAAGCGGCCTCTGAGCCCCCACTTCCAAAACCACTGTCAGGTGATTTATTGTGGTTTTGTTGTGTGTGTGAACACAGCGGTGGAAAGGTGCTTTCAAAAATACAACATATATATGAAAACAGATATAACTCTCGGTGGAAAATAGCCTGGAAAACACTGACAGCATTCCTGGGAGCGAGCACCTGCCCTCTGACCAAGACAGGGTCTCAGCAGGTGGTGAGCGTAACAAACTACACAATTTTTGTCACACACCTGCATAAGCGAGTCAAGAATGGGCCTTCTCATTCTAATACAGCAGTATGGTTGAGAAAAACAACTACAATCAGAGTTCATGCAGCTTTCAATAAGTTAACTTTAAGACCATTTAAGACCATTTAAGACCATTAGGACTGACATTTAACACCAAGAAATTTTAACACAGAAAACTTTTTTAGCAAACTAAGCCCTTTATAAAGACAGATCATGTCAACCTCTGTTTACGGTGCTTTACTCTATTTATTTATGCAACCAATGCTTCTCGGGAATGATCGAAAGTAAGTAAATTAAAACTTGACAAAATTAAATTTAAGAACTTGGATGAAAATCTGGGTGTTTTAAAGACTTTTTTAGGCCAAAAATTTTGATTTTCAAATTTTAGACTTTGAGAGACCCTACATGAACCCTGTACAGTTGTTAAGTGTGACGTGTTTAAAGTCTGCGTAGCTCCACGATGGTGGCCCATGTAGTACTTCATAAGCTTTAAAGGGCAATATTATGTTTCTCAGGCATAAACACTATACCATAATAAAGTATCTATGTCACCTTTAGTTGTTATTAAAATGTTGTTTTTGTGTTTAAATAGAAAATAAATTTTTCTTCTCATCACTTCCTCTTCTAAATGCCTTTAAATTGGCCTCTGTCTCTTTAAGAACCTCCTTCCGCC